AAAAAAAAAAATGGGCGACGACTCGCGTGAAAAGCTGAGCTTTGTAATGGATGCATATTTGCCGCCGTGCGTGTACTGGCTTGATCCAAGCCTAGTAGATGCATGCGCTTTTGGTGGATCTGCGTGACAGGACCCGTGTACCGAAAGACGGGATTGCCTTTTCCTTGATCTACCGATTCTAATTGTTTGCGTGTTTGCTTCAAGTTTTTAGTGGGTCATGGCTGCTCGTAAGTTGGAACAGGGACCGCTTCAAGATTTCGCTACAGATAGACGTGGAAAGGAGCGCACACAAAATATGCCATGCAAACTCTGATCCCAGCAGGGGCGTAGCTACGTACAACTACCCGGTGTCACTGGCACCAGGTTCAATCTACACTTGTTTAAAATAATCCATTGATTTAATGTGTAGGTCATTGATTTTTTGACGTGTTTTTCTATGTGGACACCGGGTAATCTTCAGTCTGGGTTCGCCCCTGGATCCCAGGATCCAGGAATTAGGCCACGGATCGTTGATTTTGGGAGGTGAGCGTTGATTGTTTCCATTCATCGCACAAGGCAATCTCAGTTAAGTTTAGACGCTCTTAAGTTTATATCAACACCCTACGGTAAAAGTATATGGATGCGATGAAAGTTTGTGGGTTTGCTTGCTGCTCTAAACGCTATAATTCACTTACTTGCTTAGCACAGAACCAAACATTTGGGAATTTTTTTTATATACAAGTGTATTGCATTGGCAGATGCCCTATCTGATAGCATGTACTGCATCACAAATGGTGACCGTCCGGCTTGCCTAGGAGCTACCCTTCTTTTCGGTGGTGGTGCGGACAAAGAGCTTTCCAGCTGTCTTGTTCAGATTAACGCAAGCACCTTGGTGGTCTTTTATGAATCCAATGCTGGTTGAACCTTGTTCCTTTGACCTGTTGCAAGGAGATGTGTATATTCCTAAGTCAAATAAAGGTGTCTTTTCCCGCAAGGATTACTTTCCACTGCCTGCTGTGTGATAATTTGGGTCATCTTTGAGTTGGGGCTGCTTCTTTGTTCATCTTTGAGAGATATTGAGATTCAGAGATGTAGTATGAAAAATTATTCATGTAATTTTTTTGCCATACTCTACATGTTACAAACTTGGTACAGTACTATGCAGTTTTTCTTTCAAAATTACCAGCGCTCGAAGTGTCATTCAAATCAATGCAAAAGCGGGCACAGACCTAGTAAAGGCCAACCCCAGATTTCCAGTTTGGTCCATAACCTGTTGCATGTCAGATGGGCATATTTGGTTTGACTTTCTTCATCTGTAGGATGATATGCATCTCATGGGCTACTGTAGCTCAGACTGCGGGAGACCCTTTTGTCCAATTGTGGCGTTGTGTGCATGACTTTGGGCAGCAAGAAAAAAAAGAATATCGGCGGGGCGAGCGCGGCGGTGCACGGCGGCAGGGCAAGCGCCACGGGCGCGGCAGAGCCAGCATGCTCAGGCGAGATGGCACATGCGCCGTGACAAAAAATTACGGACACCAAATCTGCAAGAGGATTGCATGAAGAGAGTATATAATGCACAACCTAATTTTATTAGGCTCATTCAGTTGACCTCATATAAGTGGACTGACACAACCTATTCAATCTAGTTGTTCTTGAAAAATCAAACACACATGTTCCTGAAGAACCAAACAATCACAAAATTACGAAGAAACGTGTCTAAATCTGCCAAAAAAAAGCGAGCACAATAAAGAAAATTACTGCTGCCGCAATGCATTAAAGATGAAGAAGAAATCCAGTGTATTGCATACATACACCCAGCGTACCTGCTACCCTACATGAACAGACTAACACAAAAGGTAAACAAAGAAGCAACCCCAGCTCAAAGATTGTCATCCGCGTAACATCAAACCACCACAAGCCAAACCTGGACTACATGGTAAGCTACTGAAACATCCGTGGGAAGCGCTTTCAAGCACCAAGCACTCTGGTACATTCCACTAGAGCCATAGACCAAATCAGTTTTGACAAAAAAAAGGTACCAATTTCTAACTCTCTCACACGCGGCTTGAAGAAGCAAACCTGGGCAACGAACCACTGGACATACCCCACTCCCAATCTCCCAAGAAGAAGCCATAGTATATACCTGAACCGGATCAGGACGAAGTGGGGAATTTGAAGCGAGGGGCTGTATGAGCAGCAAGTCGAGAAGTAATCCAACTTACACACAAAAAATTCTTCAGTTCATCACAGAAATTGTATTCAAAGCAAGTTGAGTATTACACAGTACCAATCTTGCAATTCTGTGGTAGTGTCGACCTCGAGGCCGCTGCAGTGGAGAGGGAGCTCGACGACCTTGATGGAGGAGGCCAGCGTGAGGAAGAGCTGGGCATACCATGGTGGGGAGGGCGTGATGCTGGTGCTCTTCGGCCGCCTTGCCGGATCTGACGTTGGCGGAGGGGGTTGGGAAGCGCAGCGACACCGAGCTCGAGAAGGGCAGCTCCAGGAGCAGCACGGGCGGCCTGCACATCATCCATGGGGAAGGTGGCCTGTTGGAGAGGGAAGCAACGCAGCTCCATTGACGGAGAGACACGGCGACGTCGGGAGCCAAAGGTGAACTTAGAGAAGGCGATGGTGGAGACCGGCGTAGCAGGAACGATGGAGGAAGAGACGGTGGACGGCTGAGCTCCATGTTATGGCGGTGGTAGTGAGTGTTGGAGAGGAGAGGCACGGGGAGGCCATGGTTGGATCAGAAGGTGTGGTCATGATGTGGACCTGAACGGGAGATGGAGAGAGTCAGAGAGAGAGAGAGTACGGGGAGGCAACAATGAGGAAGGGTAGCGCGAGATATGCAAACCAACAGAAAAAAAAGGCGAAAAAAATGATGCACGAACCTTCATCAGCTGCGCACCGCCCGCGTGTGGGTACCTTTGGTGGGCTCGAAACCTTCTCTCGCGGGCCGAGGTCTGTCACGCCGCAGGTGGTCCTGTCTGCTGGACTGGAGCAGCGACAGCCTAGTGCCCGCGCGCTCCTGCCTGCTGGTCCACCTTCTGCTATAAGAGGAAAACATCTACAAATGAGAAAAACCAGGAAAAAACAAATGAGGTAAGAGGAGGGACCAGATCCCAACAGCAATGAGTGCTCGTGATTGCATCCGCCCTGGTGTAGTTTCATTTGTTTGCTTTCCCCGCCTCTCTCTCTCTCTCTCTCTCTCTATATATATATATATATATATATATATATGCGGTTCTATACGTACGAGAAAATCTATTTATATATATGCATAACGTTGTACAATTTGTAGTATCGTGAAATACCAACAAACAAAAAAAATATAATGAAAAAAACACCCAAACATTTAGTACCAGTTGGTGTCCGGTACTAAAGCCCTACGCGCACCCGGGCCTGGCTCATGCCACGTGTTCGCACTTTAGCGCCGGTTCGTGACGAACCGGTACTAAAGGGGGGGACCTTTAGTCCCCACTCTTTAGTGCCGGTTGTAGAACCGGCACTAAAGGCCGTTACGAACCGGCACTAAAGGCCGGTTCTGCACTAGTGAGGTAGAACCATGGCCTGGATTGGTTCGGCTCCTCCGGATGTGTTAGAACTGGTTGCGATGGATTGTACTGATATCAACTGGGTAATACAAGTTTTGAACCTGCAAAAAAATACTATATACATTCTGCTCATGCAAAGCTCTTTTACACTCTTTCCAGAAAAAAAGCCAAGGGTGTTTTTCTTTCTTCCACAAAAAGGAGAGAGGGCTTTTTTTTAGGATGGAAAGAAGGGCAGAGGGGCTGAGAGGGTATGAGGATCCGTTGGGCCGTTTGTGGAGCCCACACTAATCCTAGAGCCCGTCATCACGGAGTACACGCGCTCTCACAGGACTCCCTGTGACTCACGCTCCCAGTCTCAAGCCAGCCGCCGCCCCATTCCCCACTCCGCGCCCTAGCCCCGGCGAGCAGCGGCGGCCGGCGTCGTGACCGTCGAATCGACTGCCTCGAGGCACGGATCCGCGGGCCGGGCAGGAGGCGATGCCGCCAAGAGGTGGAGAAGGAGAAGGCGAGCATGGCAGCACGGTGCAGAGCCACCCACCGGCGACCGTCCGCGGCGACGAGGACGCCCCGCCCCATTCTACGCCGCCGCTCCCCGTCATTGTCCATGTAGCTTCCGAGGTTGCTCCACGCCACTTCGATCTCCTTTTTTTTTTTCTAACAAGACCTTCCACCAATCTTGGATCCAAGAAAAGGAATCAGGAATCTGAACCAGCCGTTGCTATCATTTGCACAGGAGAAGAAGCAGAATCTGGAGCCCGTGCCGAACCTTCCCGAGGGCGCCCTCGTCGAGATCCTTTCACGAGTGCCCTACAAGTCGCTCTGTCGCTTCAAGTGCGTGTCCAAGCCGTGGCTTGCTCTCTGCTCAGCCCCTGACATCCGCAAGAGGTCGCCACAGACCCTCTCTGGCTTCTTCTACTACCAAGCCGGACGCCTTTGTTTCCGCAATTTGAATGGGAGAGGTCCGCCTCTGGTCGACCCATCTCTCCCTTTCTTGCGCGAAAGCTACTGCCACATTTTTGTCAAACACGTCTGCGGGGGCCTTCTCCTCTGCATCTGCTCGAATAATCTGCGAGACGAGTCCTATTATGTTGTCTGCAATCCTGCTACCGAAGAGTGGACTGTGCTGCCTCCTGTCGGATTTCCAGGTCGCGATCCGATCGCTTTCCTAGGTTTTGACCCTGCTATTCCATCCCGTTTTGTGGTGTTTGCCCCCAAGAACCAGATGGTTGGTACTATGAACGATTACAGAAAAGTGGCAATCTACTCGACAGAAACTGGACGGTGGACTCATGTGCAAAGTAAGTGGACAAAAGATCCTCTCATGAATCATGTTATACACACACAGGTCTTCCTGAGTGGCACTATCCATCTGCCTACCCTTGATAAGAGAATAGCCACAGTTGACGTGGAGGGGAAAGTTTGGAGGGAGATTCAAATGCCAAACACCTGTGATGTTGGGCACTCTCAACGACGTATCTATGATGTTGGGCACTCTCAACGACGTATCTGTGATGTTGGGCAGTCTCAAGGACGCTTGTGTGCCTGGTGGATAGATAATTCTCGTGATTGCCAACTCTATATTTGGGTCCTTGAGGATTATGATACTGGAAAGTGGACCCTAAAGCACACTGTTAACGTTTTGGAGCTGTTTGGAAGGAATTGCCGTAAAGATGGAGATTCCTATGTGATGTTTGCAATTCATCCGGATTGCAACAACATTTTTCTTACTGACAAGAAGAACATGACATTGTCGTATGACATGGATAATCAGAAAGTGCATGTTATCTGCACTGAAGGCATGAAGGGTCTGCCTTATACTCCCTGTTTTGCGGAATTGCCCTCAGCTGGTCACTGAGATCCTGTGCTACATCACGTGCCTAGCATGGGACGACACCTTTTGTGAAAATTAGTGGTTGACATGGACCTACTCTCTTGATTTCGTGGCATTGCGTGGAGAAGTCCCAACTCCTATGTTAACAGTCTTGTGTTCAGGTGCATGCCGTTGTTGCTTTGAACGATTTTGTTAGCCAAGACTTTGTAAGGCCAATGGTACTGTTTAGTTGTAAGAATCCACCTAGCTATTTAATCTATTTGCTGTCATGTAGCACTAATTATTCTGGCCACCCGTTAGCCCCTGATGTGGGTAATATAAGATATTGAGACTACATTATCTGTGTTATTGTCACCTCTTTATTTCCGTTTGTTTTATGCAAGTAAATATCTCCAGTCTACAGTTTGCATTTTAAAGATTTGATGTGATTATCTGTGGACCATCTCTTCTCAACATATAGCAGTCTGTTATCCACCAACGCTGTCTCTGTTTTTATGCATTTGTAAGATTTGGTATGTTTATTTGTGGATCGTCTCTTTTATATCGCAGCATATAGGGGTAGAGGCATGGTAAAGAAATGTTAGTTTCATGTATGTTACCCGCGTGGCCTTCAATTGATGGCATCGAGAAATGTGCAGCTAAACAAACCTGGACGACACAGTCAATTCATCTTCTTTTTTGCTCGGGGAAAGATGATCTTTTGAGGGGCAGCAAACGACGTGATTCACTCGTTGATACTTGTATGTTTGTAGTAAGACCGAGGTGATAACATACATACAGGTTCAGCATTCATCACTAAAGTACTTGTGCACTCTTAATTCTGGTTTTGATATAGCTCACAATTCCCTTGGATGAATCCTGAATAGACTGTTAAATTTCTGTTGTAAGTTGTTCATTTGATTTGGGTCCTGCTCTTTAGTTGAGGTTGAGCACGGCAAACTTTCTTTGTTTGTAATGGTAATAAGGATAAAGGTGGTTTTCCTGTCACTGCTTTGTTGGTTGCAAGTGCAGTTTTAGCTGAACTTCGTACACTAAATAATACTTCCTCCATCCGAAAATACTTGTCAGCAAAAAGAATAAAAAAGGGATGTATCTAGATGTATTTTAGTTCTAGATACTTCTCTTTTCATCCATTTTGATGACAAGTATTTTCGGACGAAGGGAGTACTGGTTCTCAATACATGTGTTATTAATTCTGGTTCTGATATAGCTCGCCATTCCCTTACCTGAATCCTAACTAGACTGTCAAATTTGTGTTCTAGGTTGCCCAACTTTGATTTTCGGTCCTACTCTTTAGTCTTTACTACAAGTTTAGGACAACAACTTTTATTATATACTCAAAAGGATAATCAAAAAGATAATGGTGGTTTTCTTGTCACTGCTTTGTTGCTTGAAGGTTTGTTTTTTGCTGAATGTACTCCCTCCGTCCCAAAATTTAAGATAATTTTTGACACTAAATATAAGATCATTTAGAGATGGGATTCCATTACATCCTGTATCATCCCCAACAACCTTCACTTCAAATCATAGGAAAAGTTGTATTTATCAGCATGAGATGTTGTGTTGTGTTGGACTTGGACGCGACACTGTACTGCTGTCTCTGAAAATTGGCCATCACATTTCGCTGACGAGGATAACAATCTCATGATTTTTTTTCTAAAAAGTGTTAAGATGGTAACCACGCTGCAGCAGTGTGGTTGGAGATGGACGTATCTGTCGTCGCGGATGCAGTCTTCTGTAAGCGTTTTTGCTGAGCCATCTGATTGCTCAGGCGTCGCGACTAATTTAACAGACGCCAGATCCTCATGTTCACCACAAGGTGAGCCTCTTGAGTCGTTCCAAACGCATCAATTCAGCAAACTTGCTCGTGCTGAACTTTTTTTTTTTGAAAGATCCAGACTTTCTGGCTTTTCATTGGCTTAGCAGGGGAGAGTTACAAAAGTGTTGTGATCAAACTGATCAGACACAAAAAAGTAAGGAAAAAGGTATACAGAGGCGTAGTAGGAGTGAGCAGGACTACTCCCTCCACTGCCTAGCAAGAACTAGCCTACTCCTCGCGTTGTATCCCCGAAAGGGGGCGCTATGGCATGTGCTCCGGCGAGTCTCCATTGTTCGATATCTGTCCGGCAGGCCTTCATTATACTGCGTGCACTTGGTGTCTTTTCTCTGAATGTGCATCTGTTTCTCTCAAGCCAGATTTGCCAGGTGACCAATGCCACCATCGTCTTGACTCCTCTTCTTTACCGTGGCGCCGCGGAGTTGAGGATTGCGGTGATGGCCTCCGTTGTGGTGTTGCATGCTCTCCAGGATGCTGGGGAGAGTGTCGCGCAGCCTACCCAGGTGGCTGTCATTACCCAAACCTCCTTTGATATGTTGCACTCCCAGAAGAGGTGGAAGGAGGACTCGAGGTTACGGCAGCATAGCTGACAGAAGTAGGGGTTCTCCCAGTCCTGCGCTGTAGGCGATCGTTGCACCAGAGCCGGTTCTGGTGCAGCAGCCAAAGGAAGAACTTGATATTTCCGGGCGCCCATATCTTCCATACCCGGCTTTTCATGGCCGAGGTTGGCTGCGGGGGGAGTTGGGAGAGATACGCTGACCTCGCCGTGTAATCTCCACCGGCTTTCCAGGTGATCTTGTCTTCGGTCCCTCCATGCAGCGCCAGGTTTGCCTCTCTGATGCGTCGCTGCAGCAGCACAGCCTGGTGGATGATTTCCAGGTTGTTGTCACGCCTGAGATCCGTGATCCATCTGTCATCGCGAGTCGCCTCTGCGACAGTGCGGTTCTACCTGATTGAGCGCTTGAATAGGTCGGGGTAGACCTGCCGCAATGGCTGTTCACCGAGCCAGGAGCAGTGCCAGAAGAGCGCTCTGTTGCCGTCGCCCACTGTCACTCTCGTTTCCAAGGCGAAGAGCGCTCTATCCTTGTCGTCGCAGGGCATCTCCAGCTGCGTCCATGGCCTGGCCGGGTCCATCCACGCGAGCCAAAGCCAGCGGAGGCGCAGGGCGCGGCGAGACGCTCCATGTTGTGGATGCCGAGGCCGCCGTGCTCGACCGAAGATGTGACAAGCTGCCAGCTCACTTTGCATTTCCCTCCGGTGACCTCTTCGTCCTGTGCCCACAAAAACCGATGCCGCGCTTTGTCTACATCCTTGTAGAATTTCTTTGGGATTCGCAGCACCGCCATGGCGAAGGCTGGCAGCGCTGATAGGACGGACCTGACGAGTACGCGGCGCCCGGCGATCGGCAGGAGCCGGTCCTTCCAAGCCGCCAATCTTGCGCGGATGCGGTCGAGTAGGTACTGAATATTCACTAGCCGTAGCCTGCCGATGCATAGTGGGAGGCCTAGATATCTGATCGGGAAGCCCACTGTGGCGCCGCCAAAGTTTCGGAGCACGTCTATGAGGTCCATGCTGCCGCAGTTTAGTGCTGCCACCGACGACTTCTGAGGGTTGCGGCGCAGCCCCGTCGCGTCCCCGAACCCCTCCAGCAGCTGCATGATGGCGTTGATCTCCTGACGCACCGGATTTGCGAAGAAGATCGCGTCGTCCGCGTACAGCGTGATGCGCATGCGCGCGGCGCTGGTCGGCAGTGGCGCGATGATGCCGGCCTGTTGCGCCGCCTCTAGCAGTCGGTGGAGGGGGTCAATCGCCAGGATGAAGAGGATCGGCGAGAGCGGGTCGCCTTGCCGCAGCCCTCGGTGATGAAGAATCGCAGGGCCCGGATCTCCGTTTAGCAGGCAGGCGGAAGACGCGGTGGAGAGGAGTAGCGCGATCCAGTCTCTCCAGCGCGCCGGGAAGTTCATGTGTTGCAGCAGCTCGAGGATGTACTCCCATGACACCGTGTCGAAAGCCTTGGCGATGTCGATCTTCAGTAGGAGCATCAGTGATCTTTTCCTCTTGAACTGTCGCAGCACGCTCTGGACGTAAAGAAAACTGTCGTGGATGCCCTTCTTCTTTTGGAAAGCACTCTGGGCCGGCGAAATGAGCTGATCAAGCACACCTCCGAGTCTGATTGAAAGCACTTTTGCAATCAGTTTTGCCACCGAGTGGATGAGACTAATTGGGCGGAAATCAGACAGTTTTGTTGCGCCATCCTTCTTTGGCAGGAGAATGATCATGGCGTGGTTCAGAGCAGCAAAGTCTCCTCCAGCGAGATGATAGAAAGCATGGAAGACTGCCATGACGTCCGTTTTGATCGTTTGCCAGCATGCTCGGAAGAAAGCCCCGCTGAAGCCATCCGGCCCCGGTGCCTTCTCGGCCGGTGACGCGCAGATTGCTGCCCAAACCTCGTCTTCTGTGAATGGGTTGTCGAGGCCTGCACCGGCCTGCAGACGGGGCAGTTGTATCCTGTCCCAGTCGATCATCTTCGTTCTTCTCTCCTTGCTGCCCAGGAGCTTGGTGAAATGGTCATGGATCATTTTGGCCTTCTCTTTGTGATCCGTGGCTTGTCTGCTCTCTGACTCAAAACAGTGGATGTAGTTCTTTCTTCTACGGGAGTTTATCTTGGCCTGAAAAAATGTTGTCTTTGCATCGCCCGCTTTGAGCCAGGTGGTCCGTGCTGCCTGCCTCTTCCGCACTCGCTCGAGAGCTGCGAGTCCCACAATCTTCAGCTTCAGGGTCTTCCTCAGCCAGAATTCTCTTGGCGTGAGCTGCCGTCTCTCCTGCGCCACATCGAGTCTCAGCACCACTTCAGACGCAAGGTGGAACTGCATTTTGGTGTTGCTGAAAAAGTTCTTTGCCCAAATCTTCAGGTTCGCCGCTGTACGTCTTAGCTTGATTTTCATCCTGGTGAAGGGACAACAATGGTTAACTGGTCTTTGCCATGCCCTCTGGACCGTCTGCTGAAAGTGCGGGAACTTGGGCTAGAAGGATTCAAATTTGAAAACTGCTTTTCTTGGTGGCGCTGCTGCATCCGTGAGCAACAGGGGGCAGTGATCGAAGCAGGAAGTGGATGCAGCCATGAGTGTGTAGGAGGGGAAGATCGCCTCCCACTCTTGGTTACAGAAGACTTTGTCTATGGCGACAA